AAACATCATCAGGATTTTTTTTATTTGCTTCAGCCCTCTTTACTTTATACATTTTCAGACTTGTGACCGTACAGTATATTCTGAGTTTTGCAAAATCGGCACAGTGGTTTACTGGGATTACGCTATGACAAAGAGGATAGATCGACAGGTAAAGAATGGCCAATCAGTGACGTTGAGACTAAACAATATTTTTCAAGTCGCAATATTATTGAGCAAATGATATCTATAGTCAACGCCAAACAAAGTGGCGTGCACGTCATCAAGGTGGGTGTGTTGAAAAATTTACATTGTTGCCAAACTTTTTGTAAAATAATAAAATTTATTATTTACATATCTAGGTTTATAAGCAATATTAACCTCAAATGAGAACAAAAATAATAGTATAATAAAATTATAGATCTGTACTTGCATAATCATTAAGTATGACAATTATTGATCAGATGACACTATGAAAGTACCATATTTAATTGATAGCTTAAAGGTACTGAATAAAAATCCAAATGGGGTCCTCCAAATTTTATGCATGGTATTTATTTTCCAGAATCATACAGAAAAATGCATTCTAAAATTAGGTAAGCTACTGGTGTAAGCTTTTTCTGTACAATAAAGTTAGTCGGAGTTTCTTTCTTCAGCGCTGTCTGAATCTGAATCTTCATCACTCTCAAAGTTGATTATTAAAGGTTCGATGTCCGGTCGATCAAAAATTCGTTCTCTTTCATACCATTTAAAAATTTCTTGCTCAGTATGTCGAACACTATTTTTCCACATGTCTGGGGTAACCGTTTGTAGAGCCTCGTTCCACATATCCAAACAGTCTTTTTCACTGTTACCATCTCTACCAATATGTCTGTTATAGTAACCTTTTGCTATGCCCCAAATTAACTCAATAGGGTTAAATATACAATGGTAAGGAGGCAGACGAAGAACTTTGTGCCCATGTTGTTCCGCCAATTCATCAATCACGTATATTTTAGGTGGTTTGTTTCTAAAAAAGCAGTTATTTTAAGAATAGGAATAAACAAAAGAAATATAAACTGTCGACCAAAATATATATAATTAAGAAGCATTATGTACCGAGCAACAATACTCAATAGCTCTGTTTTAAACATTGTGTTTAATAATGGTATGTTTTGATTTGTCAACCAGTCTTGGATATTTTTTTTGTCCATGCATTGTTGGGCACTTTGTTCAATATCATGCTGTGATAAGGGGCGTTATCCAGTATAATCATAGATGGACTCTCCAATTTTTCTAATAACTGATGTTGAAACCATTTCAAAAAATTGTCCTGATTCATCTCTCCATGGTAATCGCTCAATTTTGTTTTCGAAGAGAATATCGCTTCACTACCCTCAATAAACCCATTTTCATTTCCAGCATGTAATATAATGTATCTAAAATATATTAGTTTTAAATTTTATAGTGCAAATTGTGTAAAAGTACATACCTTTTACCATCTGTTTTAATAGCTTTCACGCTTTTTTGGTTTCCATTTTGCCAAGAGCGACCTATGGTCCCATTTTGAAATATCCAAGTTTCATCGAGGAAGACAAACTGGTATAAGGCCTCAACCTTGGCTTGATTGTATTGCCTTAGAAATTCCACCCTTTTCAAAGCTATACTTGGTAGTTCCATGAGCCCTCGTCGTGGATTGTCCTTAAGCCACTTAAATCCAAGATCTCTAAGCAACCGCCTTAAAGACGTGGCACTACCATCAAATAATGCCCTATCTCTTAATCGAGACCATAAAGTTTGTATCGTAACTTGTTCTTCTGAAACCATGTGTAATATGACATTATAATTTAGTTAACAAATTAATGCAAATTTCTGATAAGTTATTATAATAAGATCTTACTTTTGTGATACATATTATAGATCACTTCTCGAATGGCACCTGTATCCAATGTCGCTGTGTTGGTTACACGTTTAATATAACTCCGCTTTTTCTTGGGCGATTCTAAATTTGCATCACTTTTCACACCCTCGGAAATACGACTAACTGTCCTTAAACTAATTTTTAAAGCAGCAGCAACACGCTACAAAAAATGAAATAAAATTTCACTATTATTAATATACATTACATATAATTATTAGTAACCTACCTCTTGAACAGCATTTAAAGGCAACAAAGGCCCGTTGTTGTCCCTTTCTTGCTCAAAGTAGTGCATTAACGAGGCCACGAGTTCCTTACACCGACTATTTAACTGTTTGGGCATCTTTATATACCAAAATTGCCTTTATCTACTCGTAAAATGAATAATTTTGTTTTGAAACAAACAGTTGTTGATTTACAGTATGCGGGGCCAAAGGATTTATAAAGATTTGAAATGCCACAAATTGATTCAGTGTCAAAATTAATACAAATGTCAGTTCCCAGTTTAAATAAGTTTCAAGGTGACAATGTGTCAACGCTGCGAAATCGGTTTAGTGCGTTTACATGTCGATAAGTGATTGGAGCGTTTGCAAAACATTTTATTTCGCATAATGCGTCTAAATTTATCAGAAAGCAACTTATGTGATATTTTAATAACAATGTTTATATGACTATTAACCATAATAAGAGAGTAATGACCATTTTACAATTTATATATCACATTAATATGAAACTGCAATAGAGCAATTGTTTGTGATAGAAACCTAGGCATTAGGTCGGGGAATTTTTATCGTGATGACGTGCACGCCACTTTGTTTGGCGTTGACTATAACTCTACTGTCTATGCCATAAAACTAATGACATAAATCACCCTGTATACACAAAATTGCTCGACGCCCTAAGAAATAATTTTTTGACAACTTAATCTGGACGTGCGACAAAGCACAACAGCACTACCCTGTATGAAGCAATAAAAAAGTGAGGGACCTCTTCCATTGAGGCATATAGACAAAAAAGTATCTTCATTAAGGGAAAAAATGTTCTCTTTATAAGTTAGAAGATCAAATGTTTGTGAGTGCCCCTTTTACCGGTAACTCTATATTCTTTGGTGGTAGTAATACTACCAGAATTTATTGATTAACGTAGGATAATTCATTCAACATTCACGTGGGCTCTTAATAAGATTCTTATGAGAAATATGACAGCTTTCTGTGTTATTCTAATTTTCGGCAGTACAAATGTATGAGAAGCGGGGCAATGATGCTTAAAATTTTGAAAAATTCAACTGTCCCATTTTTAAATAATTTGCTCGGAAGTTGATAAATCCACAGTTTCCGTCGTTTTGATATACTAAGTGACATATAAATCCGAACACCCAGTTTAAATGGTTTTATTTTAATAAAAGTTGGTGAATGTATTTATCTTACTGTAAATAACAAGTGAAAAATTTTTCAGCCTTATCAGTTGGACATTCCGGTTTCTATACTGCTTTTTTTTAATTCACTAACGCTCTAAAACTGAATATTGCAGCCGCAGTAAAGAATCAACGTTGGCGGATTTTGGTTCTTGACATCCTTTACGATCGGTTACGATGCCTAGAGTACGCAGACCTGTACGATTTCGTCAACTTAGTGAGTTTGATAGGGGCTGTATAGTGGGACTTCGGGAAGCTGGACTTTCTTTTCGGGCAATTGCAGTTAGAGTGCAAAGAAGTGTAGATACTGCGGTTAGGTGTTGTCAGGAATGGCTTCGAGAAGGCCGTACGCAAAGAGCAAGGGGCACTGGACGCCGCCGTAGAACAACGGACCGTGAAGATCGCCGCCTAAATGATTGGCCTTAAGGGACCGTTTCTCCACTACCAGGTCCATTGCAAATGAATGGTTTGCAGAACACGGAAGACCTATTGGCATGCGAAGTGTTTACCGACGAATGAGAAGTTTTGGTTTGTTTTCATACCGGCCACACTGGGTCCTCCCTTTAACTCGAGAACACCGACGTAGTCGCCTTGAGTGTTGCAGACAACGGTCACTCTGGGATCAGGAATGGAACAGTATTGTCTTTAGTGACGAGTCTCGATTTTGTTTAGGCATGCACGATGGTCGTGCCAGGGTTAGAAGGCGACGTGGTGAAAGGAGGAATCTACAGTTTTTTGTTGAAAGACATGTTCATCACACTGTTGGAGTTATGGTTTGGGGTGCTATAGCTTATCTCAATTCTCAAATCTTGCAGCTCAAATGTACCATGTACAACGAGTGCAGGCCTTCTCACCAGAAAACTATCCTCGCAGACTAACATTCTGTCAGTGGTTTTTGCACAAAAACAGTGAAAATCCGGATTTTTCTAAAAACATTCTAGCGCCGGACGAATATACTTTTACGCGAGACGGGATATTAAATTTTCATAATACTCACACGTTGGCCCAAGAAAATCCTCAAACCATTCGTGAAGGTCGTTTTAAAATAAATATTTGGGCGGGTATTGGGGAGAACTTAAAGGGCTGGTCCAATAACAACTGAAACACAACTTCGCGAAAAAAATCTTAATGCGGCTGAAATAATAAATGGACAACTTCGAGGGCCTAGAGTAAGAAGAAACTGGGTTCGTCGTAATGAAGCTTGTGTGGAAAGTGAACAACGACATTTTGAACACTTTCTCTAAATACAAAAAGCTGCAGTGTGGGTTTTAAAAAGAAAAACGTACGTATCTAAATTGTGTTTCCTATTTATAACTGGATTTTTTTAATACGTTCAATAAACTTTCACACTCCAGGTAAAGCGCTGAGACAGTTAGCGGTAAGTCCGTTTTTTTTTAATTGTTTGCATTTTACGAGTACATTATCAAATAATGAAATAATACCCAAAAGCCAAAAATAACAAACTCCATCTTTATTTACACTGCGTTCCGTCGTAATTTGCGTCTGGCATTGCGGCGTTGTCAGATCTTATTTTACTTTAAAGTCGCTTTTCTCGAAAAAGATGCCGTCTTGACCCCCATGTTATATGAAACTTTTTGCTTCTTTCAACCCCCTCTATCATCCACTTAAATAACGACTATCATAACGTTTACACCCTGTATACTATTTCTGCCAGTGATTACACTGTGCGTAGTCCGTAAGCTCAGAGGCAAACGAGTCTCCAGTACCGGAGTCTGCGGTCGTCTGAATCATATCGCGACAGCGACATCAATAAACAAAACAAATAAATTAGCCTTGGGCATATTCTTAAAAAATCCCATACTGGAATGGGATTCCGTTATGGCCTTTTTAATTCATCGTTGGCTTGGTTCAAGTAGCAGAAAAAATCGAACAATACAAATGTCGCGCATTCATTAAGGCGTCTCCAGATACTTGTCAATAGAATTCAGTTCTGGCGAGTTAGGAGGTCAGGTTCAGTTAAAATGATTTTTTTCTGTGGGATTATTACGATAGTTTTGGTGATTTGTGATGTGGATTGTGCACCGCTGATCACTACGCCCAAGGCCAAATATCCACAGGTACCTTCGCATCAAGTGGTAAGTACCGAGCTTTTCCTAGAGAGCAAGGACTAAATGAAACACTGGCATATCCAGAAAAAGACCTTTTGTCTTTTTTACTCATTATTTCATCATTTTTAGTTAATATTATTTTCTGACCCTCATTTTTACTCATTATTGTTTTAGCTATTCGTTTTTTCACTTTTTTGTCTGGAATGCTTAATTCTCTCATTATTTTGGAATATTCCACAATGCAGTGAGCCTAGACATGACATCCTAAATGATCAGGAATATCAATAAATTGAATAACCGATATTTGGTGACTCGTAGAAGCTGGAATTACACCTTCTCTCTCACCATTTGTGAGACATTCGTTATTTAGAAGTGCAGCTGAAGCTGATACTCATTTTTTCACTAATTTTTCCTCCCAAAATACTGGTGTTTCTCAATTTTTTTCAGGTTCCGGGCTGTGAATACTCTGTTGCTAAGATATCGTAAAATATATAATGTTTGTTGGTTTGTTTCAGATTTATTTAGCATTATTGCTACAAGGTCCATAATATTACACAGTATATCACAGAATATATTATTTCTTCTTTTTATACAAAATTTCACTACTATGAATTCTGGTTTTCCATGAGATATTTTTTCAATTTCCCTTTGAACATTTTCAAGCTGACACACATCTTGATATCATTACCTAATTTATTGAATTCGTACAATCCCTTTTGAAATACTGACATGCCCGTTATATTGCTACTGCAGTTTTGTAAATGAAAGTCTATACTTCCTCTAGTAGAATAGTTGTGGCACTCGTTCAATACAATAAAATTTTCTAAGTGATTTGGTAGAAGATGACTTTTTAACTTGAATATCAAAATGAAAACCAAGTAGGCTATGAAATTTTTGATATTTAACCATTGTAGTTCTTTCAGCATAAAATTTATTCTAGTATATTTATTTTTACTTAAGATGATTCTCATAGCTTTATTTTGTAATATAAAAAAATAGTCGAACAATATAACAAATGAGGAAGAATGATAGAAATGTACACAGTTTTTTTAGAATAAACGCGAAATTCTATAAAAGTAATTTATTTTCTTGGATATTTTTGAAATAATATACTCATAGTGCCCTTCAAATTTTAATTTACTGTCTACGTATATGCCCAAATATTTAAATGATTCGATTGACACAATTTTTTCAGGATTAATTGTAAGATTTATCGTATTTTGATCTAAAGATTTTCCTATTAGCATATACTCGTATTTTGTTTTGTTTGTGTTTAGTTTAAGTTCATTACGTTTACCAATTTATTACGTTTTTCATATCATAACAGCTCTATTGCAGTTTCAATGACTTTATTTGATATATATATATATATATATATACAATATACAGGGTGTTCCATAATTATTGCGACAAAATGATAGGGGTTGTAGAGGGCATAAAAATATGCAATTTTGTCTTATAAACCCCTGTTCGTAAATATGCCGTTTGAGCACTACCGCTAATTTTACTTTAAGAGCTCATAGGAGAAACAAAAAATTGACCAGCTGCAAAATGTTCGTCTAGCACATTTCATGGTCTCGCCGGTTTGTAAAAAAAAGCGTGCTGTGTTTACATTTTTGTTATCGTAAATTCTCCACACCGATTCATTTAATTTATCTGATTGGTGCGTCAAACTAGATAGTAAATAATAGTACCTTAGTGTTAAAATGCAGCGTTATTCGTATGCGGAACTTAATTTACGGAGAAGCTGGTGGTAACGGAAGACGAGCCTCGCGAATCTACGCCCAACGGTTTCCAGAACGTCCTCATCCGCATCACGCCATTTTTGCAAGGATTCATGGACGTCTTCGTGTCAGTGGCAGCATCAGACACCTCGCGGGAGCATGGCGGCCCTTCACGAGGCGCACAGTAGAATTTGAGGAAGCGATTCTGCATTATGTAGAGGCAAATCCGCGTACTAGCGTGCGTGCTATTGCACATGATATGGGAGCGTATCAAAATACTGTTTGGCGGGTTCTCCATGACCAGCAACTACACTCATACCACCTTTTAAAAGTCCAATCCATGGGTCTAGAAGACTATCCGCCGCGTCGACGTTTTTGTCGTTGGTGGCTGCAGCAGGAGTTGAGGCAACCAAACTTTGGTCGCTACGTTTTGTTCACTGACGAGTCCTGTTTTACAAAGGATGGTTATTTTAATAGCCGTAGCAGTCACATTTGGGATGAAGAAAACCCTCATGCCATAGCCATCCATAGAGACCAACATCAGTTTTCAATTAACATCTGGTGAGGCATTGTGGACGAGCATATCATCGGGCCATATTGGCTTCCACCATGTTTGGATGGGTATGCTTATGGTCGATTCTTACAGCATGTGCTACCGGAACTATTAGAAAATGTGCCACTGAACATAAGAGCCAACATGTGGTTTCAACACGATGGCGCTCCAGCCCACTTTTCTTTACAAGTGCTGCAGTATTTGGACGACAAATTTCCAAATAGGTGGATAGGCCGAGGTGGCCCTGTGCCTTGGCCTGCGCGGTCACCCGACCTGACCCCACTGGATTATTTTCTCTGGGGCCATCTGAAAGCTTTAGTGTACGAAACTCCTGTTCCCAACCAACAAGAGCTACTGGGAAGAGTGATGGCCGCGTCCGCACATGTTCAGGACATACCGGGGGTATGCCACAGAGTTCGCCGATCATTGAACAATCGTGCACAGCTGTGTATTGAGCATGGTGGAGGACAGTTTGAGCAATTACTGTAGGTAAGCTGTTTCAAGAAACTGATCTTTTTTTTTGCTGCAGCCCAAACGGCACATTTCCGAACAGGGGTTTATAAGGCAAAATTGTTCATTTTGATGCCCTCTACAACCCCTATCATTTTGTCGCAATAATTATGGAACACCCTGTATATGTATACTAAGTGACATATAAATCCGAACACCCAGTTTAAATGGTTTTATTTTAATAAAAGTTGGTGAATGTATTTATCTTACTGTAAATAACAAGTGAAAAAATTTTCAGCCTTATCAGTTGGACATTCCGGTTTTTATACTGTTTTTTTTTAATTCACTAACGCTCTAAAAATGAATATTTCAGCTGCAGTAAAGAATCAACGTTGGTGGATTTTGGTTCTTGACATCCTTTACGATCGGTTACGATGCCTAGAGTACGGAGACCTGTACGATTTCGTCAACTTAGTGAGTTTGATAGGGGCTGTATAGTGGGACTTCGGGAAGCTGGACTTTCTTTTCGGGCAATTGCAGTTAGAGTGCAAAGAAGTGTAGACACTGTGGTTAGGTGTTGTCAGGCATGGCTTCGAGAAGGCCGTACGCAAAGAGCAAGGGGCACTGGACGCCGCCGTAGAACAACAGACCGTGAAGATCGCCGCCTAAGATTATTGGCCTTAAGGGACCGTTTCTCCACTACCAGGTCCATTGCAAATGAATGGTTTGCAGAACTCGGAAGACCTATTGGCATGCGAAGTGTTTACCGACGAATGAGAAGTTTTGGCTTGTTTTCATACCGCCCAGACTGGGTCCTCCCTTTAACTCGAGAACACCGACGTAATCGCCTTGAGTGGTGCAGACAACGGTCACTCTGGGATCAGGAATGGAACAGTATTGTCTTTAGTGACGAGTCTCGATTTTGTTTCGGCATGCACGATGGTCGTGCCAGGGTTAGAAGGCGACGTGGTGAAAGGAGGAATCCACAGTTTTTTGTTGAAAGACATGTTCATCACACTGTTGGAGTTATGGTTTGGCGTGCTATAGCTTATGGTACCAGGTCACCTTTAATCTTCATCAGAGGTAACATGAACGCGCAGCGTTATATCCACGAAGTTCTAGAACCCCATCTTTTACCCTATCTTGACACCCTGGCAGATCCAACTTTCCAACAAGATAATGCCCGACCACATGTTGCAAGAGTCACAATAGACTTCTTTCAACCTAATGATGTCACATTATTACCATGGCCATCAAGATCTCCCGACTTATCCCCAATTGAGCACGTGTGGGATATGATGGGTAGGAGATTGCTCAATTTGCAACGTCCTCCTCAGACTCTAGAAGCACTTCGAGAGGAGTTGGTGGTTGCCTGAAATGAGATACCACAGGAGGACTTTACCACCTGATCAGAAGCATGCCTAGGCGCGTTGGAGAATGCGTAGCACATCAGGGTGCATCCACACATTATTAAAGGTCAAAGGGCTTTAAAGCAGTGCAATCATTTTGAAATTTTTATCATTTACTTATTATGCTTCATTAAGTACTTATACAAAATTTTATTAAAATAAGACCATTTAAACTGGGTGTTCGGATTTATATGTCACATAGTATATACAGGGTGACTTTGAAGTTGAGTCATTAATTCTCAGATAATGATTGTAGAAGGAAGATAAACCAAAATATGTGTGTAAAAATAAAAAAAAAAGTAAAAAAAATGTTTACCATGTTTTATAAAGTATCCTCCCGACAAGTATTTCAGTGCGGACCTGTATTTGATCATCGTGAGGTCTTGGAGCACCTGCATGCCCTCCCCTGTGAGGTCTTAAGTCACCTGATTCACGAGCACATTGTACTACATTAACAAAGGCACGAGGGGTTGGTTGCACTCGATTGGGAAACCGATCCTCATAAATATGTGCCATTTTTTATTTCGTTTGAGCCACGCAGCAAACACCACTATTCACTCACGCGTTACCGACTGACACAGACTGAATAAAAACATCGTGATCAGCGTTTCAAATTCTTTCGCTTTTTTGTTTCCGATGCGATGAACCGATAAGGCGGAGTATATCCGTTGTCGCCAAACACGAGCACGTAATATTATTATTGAGACAGGGCGGTACTCAAACTTCTAACGGGCTATAACTTTGTTACTTTAATTCTACCACAAAAATGTTAAAGGAAAAAAACATTTCTTTTAATCAGATCTACTCACTGTTAAAATAAATGACTCAACTTCGAAGTCAGCCTGTATATATCATCAGCAAATAGTGGAATTTTTCAGTGTTGTTAAATATCAGGAATATCGTTAATACGAGTATATAAAATAAAGAATAATGGACCTAATTTGCTACCCTGTGGCACACCTACCGAAATGTTTTTAATGTTTAATAATGTATTGCCAATTTCAGTTCTTTGACTTGTATTGATTAAATAATTGTGTAATAAGTTGAATACTGTACCTTGAAATCCATAGCAATGCAATTTCGTTAATAGTTTCAAATGCTCTCTTGAAATCTAAGAACAATGTTACTGTAAACTCTTTTTCATCCAGATTTCGCCTCCATTCTTCTACTAACATTTGAATTGCTGTTTCAGTAGAATACTTTTTTCTGAATCCTGCTTGAAATTTTGTCAATATCTTATTTTCTTCAATATATTCAATGATTTGTTCATATATGATTCCTTCTAAGAGCTTCTCGACATCTGGCAGTACATTAATTGGTCGCATGTTTGTATATAACTCAGAATTTTGCACTTTTGCAACAGGAGTAATTGTACAACTATTCAATTTTGAAGAAAATTCACCATACACTAAACAGTGATTCCCTAACAATAATAACTTCTCTCCAATAATGTTGAAACATTTCGTCATCGTAAGAAAGCTCAATAAACTTGATAGATTGCACATAATGGCATCAGAACACCAGAAAAATGTCGATTTTTGTTTTTTGCTAGTAAATCCGAAACGGTTAATAGGACAGCCATCAAAATGACGGACATTTTTTAAGGCAAATAAGATAGCGTGTATAACATGTCTCAATCGACTTTTGTTTTCCCGCAACCAGCCTCAACGTTCATTTTTCTTATGGCCGCCATATTGGACTTTTCGATTTTTGAAAAGAGCGTAAAGTTTCAAGTCGCACAAGTGCATGAAAGATTGGAGTACCATCACACACATCACATTCATTTCTAAACATATTTGTCAGAAAATAACATTAATGAGTAAGGCATAAAAAACACATAAATGCCTTGAATTTTCAATAAAGTATTAACGTTAATATCGACTTCTCAACAAGTCAAATGTTTTGGGACAAATTTCCAACTATGAGTGTGTTAGAAAAGCAGAGTGAGAGGCTGAAATCCAATGGTGAAAGGTCAGGGGATCTAGGAGGCCAAGATATTGAACCATTTAATATCATTATTCTGCTCTCTTAAGATGTTCCTGACTTGAATGGTGTTGTAAGCCGGACATCCATCCTATTGCAACCAGGCACAATCTAGTTTCGCAAAAGCTCTAGGTACATCTGTCCGTTTAGGTTCTGGTCAAACAAAAATGTTCCTATAAGTCGATTTCCTGAAATGATTAATACCTAATTTCAAATAGGTGCCCAATTAAAAAAGGTAAGTTCGATTAAATTACCAGTGACCCCACACCAAACGTTAGTTCCAAATCTGGCCAGTAGACATTTCTCCGTCACTTCTTGGGGGTTTTTCACAGCCCAATGATGAGTGATGTGCTTATTAAAAGCTCCACAATTCGTAAAGCTACTGTCTTCGGACCACAAGACATGATTCCCGAAATCGTGATTTTCATTAGACTTCTTAGTATACCCGTCGCAGAAGCGCATTCGCCTTGGAAAATCAGTTTCTTTAAGTCCTTGAACTATTCTAGGTTTGTATGGATGGTAATAATTTTTATTTAACACTATCTGTACTCTTAATTTTGACACACCAATTTCTCGTTATATAGTTATTACTGGTGCACTAGTGATATAACTAGATCTCGCTACGTTTTAAATGATAATGCCTCAGTATGTTTGTTCTTAAGTCGTCTTGTTATTTTTTTGCATAAGAGTGTCAGTTTTTTTGGCGGCAGTATTGAGGCGCGGATCCAGGGGGGAGGTCATGGGGGTCATGACCTCTATTCAAACTTCATTAAAAGAATATAACACCACTCGGATTTCTTATCAATTTTACATTCAGACGCGCTGAACAATACAGACACTACGACTGATTTTTGCTGGGGGGGACGTCCTTTGACCACCCTTCCTTGGGGGGGCCCAGGCCGCAATGTCCATTTTGCCATTACTTAAATCCGCCACTGTGAACGACAAAACCACAAAAAAGTTGTTGCACTGGATTCAAAGGAGATGGTAAGTATTAATATTAACCGATTCGCAGGAAGACAAAACAGAAGAATTAATTTTGTTATTTAACAATGAATTGTTAATTTTTAAATTAGATTTATTATTTTTAATCACTTTTAGGCTGTACCCTAAGGGTACAAGGGTAGGGTTTCTCATCTGCCATCCGTCCGCCAGTCAAGTTTTTGATTTTTATGTCAGAGACACTGATGTCCCCCCCCCCCCCCCCCCAAGACGAGAAGAACATCTTCCCGAACATAAAGTTCTTTGACCAGTGTGACAGTGTGACCCCTCCCCCCAGAGACAAATCGCGGATCCGCCGTTTTACAGTATTCTTATAGTGGGCGTGCTCATACGAGTATACTAAGTGACATATAAATCGGAACACCCAGTTCAAATGGTTTCATTTTAATAAAATTTTGTATAAGTACTTAATGAAGCATAATAAGTAAATGATAAAAATTTCAAAATGATTGCATTGCTTTAGAGCCCTTTGACCTTTAATAATGTGTGGATGCACCCTGATGTGCTACGCATTCTCCAACGCGCCTAGGCATGCGTCTGATCAGGTGGTCAATGTCCTCCTGTGGTATCTCATTCCAGGCAACCACCAACTTCTCTCGAAGTGCTTCTAGAGTCTGAGGAGGACGTTGCAAATTGAGCAATCTCCTACCCATCATATCCCACACGTGCTCAATTGGGGATAAGTCGGGAGATCTTGGTGGCCATGGTAACAATGTGACATCATTATGTTGAAAGAAGTCTATTGTGACTCTTGCAACATGTGGTCGGGCATTATCTTGTTGAAAAGTTGGATCTGCCAGGGTGTCAAGATAGGGTAAAAGATGGGATTCTAGAACTTCGTGGGTATAACGCTGCGCGTTCATGTTACCTCTGATGAAGATTAAAGGTGACCTGGAACCATAAGCTATAGCACCCCAAACCATAACTCCAACAGTGTGATGAACATGTCTTTCAACAAAAAACTGTGGATTCCTCCTTTCACCACGTCGCCTTCTAACCCTGGCACGACCATCGTGCATGCCTAAACAAAATCGAGACTCGTCACTAAAGACAGTACTGTTCCATTCCTGATCCCAGAGTGACCGTTGTCTGCACCACTCAAGGCGATTACGTCGGTGTTCTCAAGTTAAAGAGAGGACCCGGTGTGGCCGGTATGAAAACAAGCCAAAACTTCTCATTCGTCGGTAAATACTTGCCAATAGGTTTTCCGTGTTCTGCAAACCATTCATTTGCAATGGACCTGGTAGTGGAGGAACGGTCCCTTATGGCCAATAATCTTAGGCGGCGATCTTCACGGTCTGTTGTTCTACGACGGCATCCAGTGCCCCTTGCTCTTTGCGTACGGCCTTCTCGAAGCCATGCCTGACAACACCTAACCACAGTGTCTACACTTCTTTGCACTCTAACTGCAATTGCCCGAAAAGAAAGTCCAGCTTCCCGAAGTCCCACTATACGGCCCCTATCAAACTCACTAAGTTGACGAAATCGTGCAGGTCTCCCTACTCTAGGCATCGTAAGCGATCGTAAAGGATGTCAAGAACCAAAATCCGCCAACGTTGATTCTTTACTGCGGCTGAAATATTCATTATTGGAGCGTTAGTGAATTAAAAAAAAACAGTATAAAAACCGGAATGTCCAACTGATGAGGCTGAAAATTTTTTCACTTGTTATTTACAGTAAGATAAATACATTCACCAACTTTTATTAAAATAAAACCATTTAAACTGGGTGTTCGGATTTATATGTCACTTAGTATATATGTATAGTAATTGAGCTATCTACGAATTACAGACCAAAAACTCACCCTGTATAAGTGCACGAGATACTACTTAGTAATTTTTTCAATATTGTAGCTAGATTTTATGAAAACATTTGGATACATCGATGATCCCAAAGATACAGAAGCAATATATACAGAGGAGGGCTTTACAAACATTATAAAAAATGTTCAACAATTTGGAGCATTGAACCAAACTGGAGTATTGGATGAGGCAACTTTAAAAGTAAGTGAATCCCACAAATAAAATGTGACTTCAGTAATTCTTTAAAAAGGGAGTAAATGATGAAACTTTCAGCTTCGATGGTCATTTGAATGCTGACGGAGTTCAAGCTTTTACTCAACTTGATTTCGTGATTTCTTAAATCATTATTTCAATTCCTTCCAGTTGATGTCGTCGCCACGATGTGGGGTTCCAGATATCCTCAAGCCGAAGAAAAGTAAAAGACGTAAAAGATATGTACTAACAAATGGCTGGGAAAAAAGGAATATATCCTACTTGTAAGTTTCATGCTACATTACCATATTCAGCCTCAAATTCATCAATATTTTGAAGTTTAGCAAACTGGACCCCAAAGCTGGGTGAAACCACCATTATGAAGAACATCCAGAAAGCGTTGGACACTTGGGGAGGATACGGACGTTTAAACTTCCATAGAGCCTATGATGCTAACGCTGACATTATTGTCGCGTTTGGGAGGGGATACCATGGTGATAGGTGAGAATTTCAACCTGATTTGGTTAAAGTAACTCATAATTGTAGCAAGTGCTCGATTTTTTTTTTTATTAATCCAGGCATATTAAAGCTTTCACCTCTGAATGAGAGACAATATTTAGATATTCACTATCCACCTAATATTACAATTTCTGTATACAGGGTATTCCTTAATGATATGCGAATATTTAAGGGTGTGAATCTACATGAAAAATTAATGTTAGTTTGTTTTATAAATTATGGTCCAAAAATGTTTCCTTACAAACACTTGAGGTATTGAAGTTTTAAGAAAAAAATGTAAATTAATTAATATTTTCAGAACCGCGTCAGTTATTTCACTGATATTTAGTACGTAATGAAAGTTAATAAAGCTGCCTATTTTTCAATGCAAAAATAATTTTTCGCTTTAACAGTGGCGTGCGTACGGGTATTGACTTCGATATTTTTCCAGAAAAAAATGGTACGCTAATAGTTTTTGCCAAATAAAAATTATTTTTGAATTTCCCGTTCAATTTAAAACAAATGATCTCTCTTGAATTGTTTTCCTTCGATGCGCCATTTTTTTGTAAAAAAATAAAAACTGTTCTATTGTCCGAAAAATAAATCTAATAATTGAAGAATGCAATTTAGCAATAAATATCTAGTTGCTCTGGAATATGTCAATGGCTTTTGACATCTGACAAGTCTCTGTTAATCAAATCCGTTCGCTGTGACATCTTTTTCATTATTTAGTTTTTACAATCTTGTTAATAATGGTGAATTATTCAAATGCAGAAATGGCGGAAATGCATTACGTATATGGCCTTGCCGACGGTAATGGTGAGCAAGCTAGACGCATTTATCACCAGAGATATCCCGATCGTGCTTTGCTAAATAGTCGAACCTTTTCTAATATTCATCGTCGTCTTGTTGATACTGGTTCTGTCCGAAAAGAAACATCTGAAGGTAGACCTCTAAGTATGAGAACACCCTGAAAATGAGGAAGCAGTGCTGCACGAAGTCGAAGAACATCCTGAAACGAGTACGAAGAAGATCGCGAGACACTTAAATATTTGCCATCAAATTGTTTGGAGAATTCTAGTGGATTTTTTGTTATATCCTTACCATATTTTAAGAGTACAGGCATTACTTCCCGTTGATTTTCCAAGGCGTGTAATCTTTTGTCAGTAGTATCAAAAAATTACACAAAATCCGCAATTTGAATCAATGATCCTGTTCACGGACGAAGCTAATTTTTCTCGAAATGCCATTCAGAATTTCCACAATAATAATTTGTGGGCAGAAGAAAATCCCTGTGCCGTAACCGAAATCCATTTCCAACACCAATTTCCGGTTAACGTATGGGCAGGAATTATTGGCAACCACTTTATTGGCCCATTCTTCTTGCCGGGACGACTTGACGGACAGACTTACCTCAAGTTTCTTCAACAACAGTTGCCTTTGCTGCTTGATGATGTTCCGTTAGCAATAAGAAACAGTATGTGGTACATGCATGATGGTGCACCAGCGCATTTCAGTGTATCGGTTCGTAATTATTTACAAACTGTTTATCCACTACGTTGGATTGGCCGCGGTGGGCCCCAAGAATGGCCACCAAGGTCCCCAGACCTCAACAGTTTAGATTTCTTTTTGTGGGGCTATCTCAAGACACTAGTATACACAGGTCCCATTAACACTGTAGAGGAATTAAGAGAAATAATAGTTGCAGCTTGTGATAGAATAAAAAACACTCCAGGGCTATTTCAACGAGTACGCAATTCCATGAGAAGGAGGGCGAAAGCATGCATACTATGTGAAGGAGTGAAGAGGGCCATTTTCAACAATTTTTGTAATCATTTCGTTGGTGTTAATGTTATATTTATGTTGTTAGTTGTTGTTGTTCATTACCCCTAATGTGTTTAATTTTTCCAATTAAATTATTAACAATTTTGCAAGTTAGACAATAGAACGGTTTTTAGTTTTTTACTCAAAAATGACGCATCGAAGAAAAACAATTCAAGAGAGACTATTTGTTTTAAATTGAACGGGGAATTCAAAAATATTTTTTTGCTAAAAATCATTGACGTACCATTTTTTTAAATATCAAAGTCAATACCCGTACGCACGCCAGTTATAGCTAAAAATTATTTTTTCGTTGAAAAATATGCTACTTTTTTAACTTTCACTACCTACGTACTAAATATCAGTGAAATATATGAAGCGGTTCTGAAAATATTAACTAATTTCCTCTTTTTTCCTAAGACTTCAACCCCCGGGTTTTTGTAAGGAAACATTTTTGGACCATAGCTTATAAAGCAAACTATCAATAATTTTTCATGTAGATTCAAACCATTAAATATTCGCATATCATTAAGGAACACCCTGTATATGATATTTTGTAACTCTTGATTCACTATTTTCTGATCGTGTTCCCGTCTGTTATTTTTCAAGACAATGCATACATTCCTGTATTGTGTTACCAATCCCTGATCGGTGAAGTGTAAGATTAGCGAATGCTAAACTTCGCTAATCAGTTTGATTCTAAATAAAGAGGACTATTATTATTATTATTATTATTAAAAATTGGCAGAAAGCTGTGTAGCAGTTTTTGAAAATCGATCCAGTAGCGGTGGAAAAAATGCCCAAAAACGGAAAAAATAAATCACTTAAACTTCGTTTTTTGGCGTTCCAGAGAATCCTGATCATTTAAAAAAAAACTGGGGTAAAAAATGAGGGGCTCTAGGATGATGGGATCCTTAATGAACTGATGACCGCGTTGCGTATGATTAAGCGCAGAGTCAACTTGCTTGACGTCATTTTTTAACTTTTAGTTTTCCTTTTGATGGTCCAGGAAGCGTCCTAGCACACGCCTTCTTTCCATATGAGTTTTCTGAGTTGGGTGGTGACATACATTTTGATGAAGACGAGAAATGGATCGATGAAAGAAATAACAATGGAGAATATGGCACAGATTTTTATACTGTTGCTTTACATGAACTTGGGCATTCTTTAGGTATGTGATACATTTTGGTCTTTCGACAATATGAAAGTAACTACGTTGCCAAGACCGTTGTAAAACTTGTTAGGCTACGTCATTATAGTACTACTAAAATTGCATCGTGCATATTTGCTTTGCAGGACTAGCACATTCACCCATACCCACATCGGTTATGTTTCCTTACTATAAAGGCTCGGAAGAAGGATCAACAGCAACCCTAGGGTACGATGATATTCTAGCGATGTATAAACTTTACAGTAAGTTTCAGTTGTACTAGTACTGAATATGAGGTATCCATGATCGGAAAAATGGTTTTACAAATACGAGGTTCGATTCTATGCATGTCTTGACCAGCGAGCATGAACATCTGACATACAGGACTTGTAAATTCTAATATCTTCAGGTGTTTAAAGTGAACTATGTTCATGATTATGGATACTTCTTTTATACAGGGTTGTAATCATTTCGTTGGTTTTAATGTTATGTTTATGGTGACAGTTGTTGTTCATTACCACTAATGTGTTTAATTTTTCCAATTAAATTAATAATAACTTTGCAAGTTAGATAATAGAACGGTTTTTATTTGTTTACTCAAAAATGGCGCATCGAAGAAAAACAATTCATGAGAGATCATTTGTTTTAAATTGAACGGGAAATTCAAAAATAATTTTTATTTGGCAAAAACCATTGGCGTACCATTATTTTTCTTAAAAAATATCGAAGTCAATATCCGTACGCGCGCCACTGTTAAAGATAAAAATTATTTTTGCATTGAAAAATATGCAACTATATTAACTTTCACTACGTACTAAATATCAGTGAAATATCTGAAACGGTTCTGAAAATATTAATTAACTTCCATTTTTTGCTTAAAACTTCAACATCCCGAGTTTTTGTAAGGAAACATCTTTGGACCATCATAGTCTATAAAACAAACTAACATTAATTTTTCATGTAGATTCACACCCTTAAATATTCGCATATCGTTAAGGAACCCCCTGCATAGATTTATTTTTCTTTCTAGTTAGCCGAACTCTGAAAGAAGACGAATCCACTAGACCCACTTTCGATTACGATGATAGTTCCGGTGAAACATCCTCAACGACACAAAGAACAACTACACAGTACATTACAACTACCAGAACTCGTCGGCCGTATAGCACAGACAGACCAGGATACACAACACAAAACCCGTGGCGTACTTCAGAACCAAAAGTTACTACTAAGAGGTTCGTTACTCAAAAAACAGAATATACCACTCAAAGTCCATGGCGTACTACCAGTAGAAGCTGTTATACTACTAGGTAAGTATATTTAGAGGTACTTTAAAGATTTTTAGGTCTCCAGGATTACCTCAGGAGGGAACGGACCTCCTAACATGCAAGGTATGCAACATTTTCAGGGCTAGCTTATAGAACGGGGAGGTGCAAAATCACTCAGACCTATCAGTCTGTCTAGTCTATATGCACTAGAAACCAAGGAAGTGCTACTCTGCATTTTCTTAGACTTACAGGTGGCTTTCGACAACATGTCCCTGGACTCAAAGACATACAGGGTGGCGCATCGAAAACGAAACAGACGCATTTACTGGCAGCTCAGTTTTTTTTGGAAAAACGCTCAGACCCGTCGATTTTGTTTTCGAGGGGGACACAAGTTTGGCAAAAAATCACGTTAGCACGTGGAGCCCCCTGGGCGGGGGTGGCACCAACCCTAAAATCTTAAATGGGAAGGGGGGTCGAGTGATACCTTATTTTAAAGGTCTTTCAATTCCCTTTGTAATGATGTAAAATACATGAGCTTCAGTTCAGTAGTTTTGAAGATTTATTGATTTAAAGCTTAAAGTAGACTTTAATAGGTACATAATAATAATAATAATAGTAATAATATATGCCTTTATTACAAAAAAATATCTACATGGTACATACTGAAAGTGGGACTCAACTGGCGAAGTTTAGCAATGCTACTCTTACACTTAACCAGCTGAATCAATAAATACAGTGATGTTAAATAAATAAATTAAAAACATATATATATATATACATATATACACACATATACACATATATATATATATACACACATATATACATACCCATATATCATATATATCATGCGCCTAAAAATAATATTAGCTTCTCAACGTAATAAATATAAAGTCTGATTGGATGATGAATGTGGAAATGATAGTATCAGTCAAGCAACCTGATCCTTACATGCTTACGAAAACTTGCTAAGCTCATACATTTAAAGGAGTATTCCAACGAATTATATAGAACTGCCGAATTATAAGAAAAACTGCGGGTGAATAAGACTGTAGAGTGAGGCGGAATTCTGATACCCAACCTATCTCTAACCAACCGATCATGAACAACAAAGTTAAATAGAATTTTTTCTCTCAAGTAGGCGGGCTTCGAAGTGGCTATTACTTTGTGAATAAATACTAGATGGTGATATTCGACCAATTTATCAAATTTGAGCCATTTCAGCGTCCTGTATTTCTGTGATACATGGACAAATTTTCTCAATCCACATATAAAACGGACACAATTATTCTGTATAATTTGAATTCTATTTTTCGTTATTTTGTCAAGGCATGGGAAATAAAGGATGTTACACTAGTTCAAACAAGACATCACTAGCGTTTCACGCAGTTTTTTCCTGAGCTTATAGCTCAGTAAGTACCTACAAGAGTACAAAGTGCGTAGGCGGAGGTAGGTTTTTTGAGCAAGACAGTTGATATGATTATAAAACCTTAACTTCTCATCGACCTCGACACCTAAAATCTTGGCAGTAGTACCAACCTGAAGAAGATTTCTGTCAATAAAGATATTAAGGTTACCTTTGACGTAGTTTCTTTTATTATCAGAACAGAAAACTATGATTTTTGACTTCTCAGGATTAACTAATAAATTATGATTGGCTGAATATTTACAAACCATGTCAATATCATGTTGTAGCTCTATATTAGCTGTTGGTAATTCACTAGCTTTAAAATAATGTACTATTTGGGCATCGTCTGCAAAAGATTGCATTTCAGAATTTTCCATTACTGCATATAGATCGAAGGTGTAGATGAGGAATAAGAGAGGACCTAGGATAGAACCCTGAGGCACTCCAGATGGTATGACACTTGGGACAGAGCTCTGTCTAGATAGAGAAACTTCCTGAACTCGGTCGGTTAAATAAGCACAGAAAAATTGATGTGAATGAGTGCCTTCAAATTACTCCTCAAATATTGCAAAATGTGCGGCAAACGTTTTGAGCAAAATCTTTATTATTGCATGGAGAGTCATGGTGGCCATTTTCAACATTTACCTGCCTAACGGGTCAGTTCATTATTCAGTTTTAAATTACTTTGCTGCCAAGTGTATTTATCTCCACTAATGATGATGTATTAGTTTTATTTAATCTTTAAATCAATAAATCTTCAAAACTACTGAACTGAAGCACATTAATTTTATATCATTATAAATGGAATTGAAAGACCTTTAAAATAAGGTATCACTCGACCCCCCTTTCCTTTTAAGATTTTGGGGGTGGTGTCGTCACCCCCGCTTAGGGGACTGCACGTGCTAACGTGTTTTTTTGCCAAACTTGTGTCCCCCTCGAAAACAAAATCGACGGGTCTGAGCTGCCAGTAAATGCGTCTGTTTCGTTTTCGATGCGCCACCCTGTATAGACTTATAGTTGACTCACTAGTTAGATGACTTAAGCCTACGGTATTTGCAGAATAAATTTACATCAACATTTTAGGGCAACAACAGAACACACTACTCCGGTAACGTATGCCCCAGACCCTTCATCAACTGGAGCACCTACAAGATGGGCAGGAAGTGCTACGGTTACCTATGAAGGTGATTCAGAAACTGTAGATGATCATAAAGACCACGATGACAGACATGGTGTTCCAAAGACTAACTCACCTAGTTTACCAAATATCTGTGACGGAAAAGTTGATGCTATGGCGACTCTACGAGAGGAACTGTTCGTATTCAAAGAACAGGTAACATGATTCATATACCGCGAGTAACAGAAGTAACGAACAGCTCTGTAGTTTTTCGGGTATGAGTTTACCTCCTACGCTCACTGGCGAGGAAGTATTGTAAACGCGAAAAAAATTGAAAATGAGATATTATGTTTTTTGGATCTTATAACATGATAAACCAAGCCACTCATTCTCGTCGGTCTGTCTGGTCAGTATGTATGCCTAAAGTGTTGCTTTGGTTTTGGAAAATCGGTCCAGTAGCGGCGAAAAAAAATCCAAAGACGAAGAAATTAAAAAATGACCAAACTTCGAGTATCAAGATGATTTTTGAAAAAATTCAAGGGGTAAAAAATGTAGAGGTGGCAGGTTGTAGGGGGGTGGGTTTGATTTAGTGTATTAATTACCGTTCTAGCCCTGGTATCTCTATGCGCCTATCAGACATTTTTCACACATCATTGATTTAACCATAAATTACCCTTTAAAAAATGAAAAATATTTTCAGCCGACGGGCCGCGTACCTATCGGTCGCACTTGCCGTGCGCTATATCGTTAAAAGAATTCCATCTATGGTAGTGCACATACGAGGTGGCGCGATATTATCGTATAGATTATGCTCGTAGTATTATATACTAAGTGACATATAAATCCGAACACCCAGTTTAAATGGTTTAATTTTAATAAAATTTTGTATAAGTACTAAATGAAGCATAATAAGTAAATGATAAAAATTTCAAAATAATTGCACTGCTTTAAAGCCCTTTGACCTTTAATAATGTGTGGATGCACCCTGATATGCTACGGATTCTCCAACGCGCCTAGGCATGCTTCTGATCAGGTGGTCAATGTCCTCCTGTGGTATCTCATTCCAGGCAACCACCAACTCCTCTCGAAGTGCTTCTAGAGTCTGAGGAGGACGTTGCAAATTGAGCAATCTACTACCCATCATATCCCACACGTGCTCAATTGGGGATAAGTCGGGAGATCTTGGTGGCCATGGTAACAATGTGACATCATTATGTTGAAAGAAGTCTATTGTGACTCTTGCAACATGTGGTCGGGCATTATCTTGTTGGAAAGTTGGATCTGCCAGGGTGTCAAGATAGGGTAAAAGATGGGGTTCTAGAACTTCGTGGATATAACGCTGCGCGTTCATGTTACATCTGATAAAGATTAAATGTGACCTGGAACCATAAGCTATAGCACCCCAAACCATAACTCCAACAGTGTGATGAACATGTCTTTCAACAAAAAACTGTGGATTCCTCCTTTCCCAGAGTGACCGTTGTCTGCACCACTCAAGGCGATTATGTCGGTGTTCTCGAGTTAAAGGGAGGACCTAGTGTGGCCGGTATGAAAACAAGCCAAAACTTCTCATTCGTCGGTAAACACTTCGCATGCCAATAGGTCTTCCGTGTTCTGCAAACCATTCATTTGCAATGGACCTGGTAGTGGAGAAACGGTCTCTTAAGGCCAATAATCTTAGGCGGCGATCTTCACGGTCTGTTGTTCTACGGCGGCGTCCAGTGCCCCTTGCTCTTTGCGTACGGCCTTCTCGAAGCCATGCCTGACAACACCTAACCACAGTGTCTACACTTCTTTGCACTCTAACTGCAATTGCCCGAAAAGAAAGTCCAGCTTCCCGAAGTCCCACTATACGGCCCCTATCAAACTCACTAAGTTGACGAAATCGTACAGGTCTCCGTACTCTAGGCATCGTCACCGATCGTAAAGGATGTCAAGAACCAAAATCCGCTAACGTTGATTCTTTACTGCGGCTGAAATATTCATTTTTAGAGCGTTAGAGAATTAAAAAAAAGCAGTATAAAAACCGGAATGTCCAACTGATAAGGCTGAACATTTTTTCACTTGTTATTTACAGTAAGATAATTACATTCACCAACTTTTATTAAAATAAAACCATTTAAACTCAGTGTTCGGATTTATATGTCAGTATAGTTTAATGAGGTTACTTAATTTCGTGAGGTATCAAACATTGTTGACGAACAATTTCACATCTGAGCTCCAAAGAAACGAGCCTAACGCGTACGGACACGCTCATTGTTGCAATCCGATGGAACTTTTTTTCATGAAAATCTCAAAAGTACACTAATGCTGATGACAAAATTGACGTCTTTTTGTTGCCATTGTACTACATATAAAATTGTTTTAGAAGTTGCTTCAAAGGTGTGTGAAGTATAGAGTCAACCTACTCGACGCCATTTTTTTGAAAAAGGTCGAGATTGGTTCTGTACTGACTTTGAACAAGACGTTCCTTGGATTCGACCTTGAACCTCATATTTCAAGGTCATGTGTTGTTTTTCCAAGAATATCTCAGCTGACAGAACAGACAGCCGTTCGCAGTTCGGTTGGTTCTATTACACCCGGTATAATTATACTTTATCATTTAAAATGTCACGTCTTGACGTGATAACTCGAAAAAAAACAACGCTATAAAGCGGAGGTAGTCAGATTTTTGGATGTAAGGTTTACCTTGAATTTGGTAGCATCGAGAACGACCGCGAGCTTTTAAAAAGCTTTATTTCTTACATACAGGTATGTATGTTGAAACCAATGAATTCAGACTAAGTAGAAGGAGCAAGCCTACGATTTCTCAGTTTTTAGTCAGGCTGCAACGAATTCAAATGGATTGGAAAGAGCCAAGCGTATATGTTTCATTGCATTGTTTGTCGTCCAAAAAAAGTAGTTTTAGTATATACTTTTGACTCATTTATCTACTAATGCCTACCCAAGTGACAGAATAGTATCAACATAACAATAGTACTTACCGGTGGATACATCTACCATCATTAGGCTTGTGCTGCTTTTTGCAAATTATGTAGCACGTAGTAATTCGTTGGTTGAAAGATATTCGTGCTGTATTCTGCAATTTTTTCAGTACATTTGGAGATTTAAAGACAAGGGATTGTTATTGCAAGGATATCCTACAACTCTGAAAAGAATGTTTCCGGACATACCAAATCATATAAAAAATATTGATGCTGCATATCAACGACCAGATGGAATGATCATATTATTCACAGGTAAAAAACCATAACCCTCATCTAACGCAGGTTTCAAATATTTAGTGTATTCAAAACTAGGGTAATGTTTTTGTTTCCTCAGTATTGTTTTAAAAGAAGTTAAGAAAGTGTGCCCCTAATACCCCCGCAGATCGATTCATTGTACTGTTTCTCCAGTCCGCCTTTGAGACCTCCCAAAAATATTTTCTAGATGCGCCACTGATCAGTATTTTTGTTGGTTGGAATATTCCATAAATAAAGGAATAAAATGTTTCCAATTGCTTTTTTTAAACTGAAGGTATTACAGATATCCAATAGTGACAACAAAAGAAGAAAAATGATTTTTCAATTGTTAACCAAATTACAGGGTGTTTTGATACAAAAATTTTGATCCTTTGAAATACAGCCTGTCGATGTCTTCGAAAAATTTGGATGTTTTACTTGCTCCCTTCATTTATTCGAGTAGTGTGTGACCAAAAACCGCTTAATAATTCTTGTTCTAGGAGACGTTTTTTGGGTATTCGATGGTCAACATTTCGTAGAAAACAGCCCCTTACCTCTGACTACTTATGAATTATCTCCGTATTTGAAAGGCATTGATGCCGTGCAAAATTGGGGAAGAAATAGTGAGTTGCATCATCTAAATCACTTTAGGCAAGTATTGATGTACATACCTTATTGTTGCAGAGAAGACTTATTTTTACAAGAACGACAGATTCTGGAGGTACAATGAAACTTCTAAAAGAATGGATCCTGGTTATCCATTACATATGGAGAGATGGAGAGGCGTACCTTTAGATTTGGACGCGGCTATCACATGGACTGACGGTAGGAAAATTTCACTGTAGTTTTGTCTATTTATTAATTTCTCTGTCTACGACAACTGGCAAGGAAATATTGCAAACTCAAAAAATTTCCAAAATGAGACTATTTTGATGATATGGGCAAGCAAATTTATTTTTTTGTATGGTCCGAAAAAAGTACACCTTGGTGGTACGAAATCAACGATGTATCAAATGTCACATTTATGTTTTAAGTAGGTAATGCTTGACATATTGACCTATTGTGTATTGTTAATACTGCTGTATTATAGTGAAAGATGCCAGGCGGTGATTTTAGCAATGAAGAAAAGATCGACATGCTGACGTGCTGCATTTTGTGTTACAAAAATACTAAAAATACTGCAGAAATGTATACTTTATCTGAAGTCACTTGAAACACTGTAAAATACCGGGTGCGTTTTATATATCTATATTTAACACGCTCTGTTGCTGCAAAAATCGCCAAATTTCGCAGCAAATATCCCCCGTATAAGATCAAAGGCAGTTTCACCGGTCCACGTGGAGTAAAGCACGCCTATGCGTGGACATAGCCAATGAGAATGCGTGTATTTCAGAGCTCCGAAAAAGTGCAGGTGGCTACTGAAAATTGAAACAGTTTAGCCAGTGCCGTGTAGCGGTGAATAAACGTGTTTTCTTTAGTCTGTCCGTGTTTTTTCATAGATTTTATTAGTTTGTGTGTTTTTGACTTTTGAATACTCAGTTTACTTGTTGATTTAATTGTTGTGTTAGTTGTTCTTGTGTGTCCTAAATATGGCTCTTTGGAGACCTTGGGAAAATGCTCCAAGCCACGAGGAGATGGTTGATGAACCTGTGCAGGCAGAATTCTTTCATAAAGATTTAGAGGAACAGACCCAAAGAGTAATCCTAAATATGTATGATTGTTTGAAAAACGAAAATCCAGATTCCTCGCAAAATCAAATTTTAAACAGAATTTGTATCCTGACAAAAATCAGTCGGTCTACCATTTATCGGGTTATAAAAAGGGGAGATGTAGTCAACCATTCCTTCCACAGAAAGCGCATAGGGCAAAAATTAAAAAGAATAGACGTGGGTTTTGGTGCCCACGTTGGAAATGATACGGGATAAATTAAAAGATTATCCTGAAGATTTTTATAATTACAAATGCTTAGACTCACTGCACTGTATTGTAAAACTGTGTGGTTTTCAATACAAAAAATTAGATAAAAGAATGGTGATTATGGAGTCGTCTCGAATCGTTGAATTGAGCCAAGAATTTTTGCACAAAGTTAAAATCTATAGAGAGCAGAAAAGAAATCTGATTTACCTGGTTGAAACGTGGTATGATACCCATGATGTTGTGCAGTACGGCTGCGTTGACGACAGCAACAAGTGCATTTTAAATGCACCATGCAACCGTGGAAAACGAACCATTATTCTCCATGCTGGCAGTGAAAATGGATTTATACCTAATGCCTTGCTGTTATCGGGCCAAAAATATCAAAGAATCATGTGCCGACTATCATGAGGACATGACCTCCGAATTATTTGAAAAGTGGATAGAGCAGCAGTTAATACCAAACATTTCCCCAAATTCAGTGATTATTATGGACAATGCGCCATACCATTCCCGACAGAAAAACAAAATTCCGAATACAGGCACAAAAAACAAGACATTATTGATTTTATGAATGATAAGGGAATGGAAATACCACAAAAATCAATTATTGGATCTTATTAAAAGACAAAAATTTGAAAAAGAGTATGTTGTTGACAATCTGCTTCAGCAAAATGGCCATGAAGTATTACGTCTACCTCCCTATTACTGCATTTTTAACCCGATTAAGTTGGTCTGGGCTGCTTTAAAAAAAAAAAGTAAGAAAACATAATCAGACCCCTCAATTAAGTGAATCGCTATTGGCCACAATAAGAGATGCAGTATCTCATATTGCTGCCACAGACTTATGGAAGCAGTGTTCTAGGCATATTATTGAAACAGAAAATGAATATTGTGTTTTGCCTCCTGTAAATCCCGTTGTAATTCCTCTACAAGATGACTCTAGCGACAGCTCCGAAGGCGAGGATAATATATAAATACCTATAATGTAAGTCTTTATATACCTCTTTATATACCTTCCTGCTATGTAAATATTTGCCTATGTCAAACGTTGGAATTCTGTAATCTTTCCATTTCTTAACTTTCAGTCAACATAAATTAAACTCCCAATATAAGTATTTTTTATCCCAAATCAAAAAAGTAAGAAGATAGTAAAATCCATTTATTGTGATATAAAAACATTATTATTATCGTTCTAAATAAATCACCGCACGCCTATGATACGTCATGAAATTACAAAGGACGCGCCGACCAAAGGTTTTTATGCTATTTCAAGTGACTTCAGATATACCATACCTTGATGAATTTAACGAAAGAAGGCAGCCAAATAAGTCCATTTTCTTAGAGTTGACTCAAAATTTAAACAAATGTGGTTCATTCAAAAAACCTGTTAGGTCTCGAAAAAGGAATCTAGGGGAAACTCAGAAGAGTGTTTTACAAGCAGTTGTTGAGTACTCTGAGATATCAACTAGGCAAATTGAGAAAAATGTAGGAATAGCCAAATCCACAGCCCAATTTATTTTGCGTAAAAATAAATATCACCCCTATTGAATCGGGATTTGCCAGGACCTTGGACCAGGGGATAACGAAAGGTGCCAGCATCTTCGTGAGTGGTACATGCGAAAGTGTGAAGTTTTTAATTTACCTTCAAAAATAACACTTATTACTGGTCTCAAGAAAATGTGCGAGCTAAAAAAGTATCCAGACATCAAGAACGTTTTGGGTTTAATATATGGCGTGCGATTCCAGGGACCATAATATTATAGTCAACGCCAAACAAAGTGGCGTGCACGTCATCACGATAAAAATTCCCCGACCTAATGCCTAGGTTTCTATCACAAACAATTGCTCTATTGCAGTTTCATATTAATGTGATATATAAATTGTAAAATGGTCATTACTCTCTTATTATGGTTAATAGGCATATAAACATTGTTATTAAAATATCACATAAGTTGCTTTCTGATAAATTTAGACGCATTATGCGAAATAAAATGTTTTGCAAACGCTCCAATCACTTATCGACATGTAAACGCACTAAACCGATTTCGCAGCGTTGACACATTGTCACCTTGAAACTTATTTAAACTAGGAACTGACATTTGTATTAATTTTGACACTGAATCAATTTGTGGCATTTCAAATCTTTATAAATCCTTTGGCCCCGCATACTGTAAATCAACAACTGTTTGTTTCAAAACAAAATTATTCATTTTACGAGTAGATAAAGGCAATTTTGGTATATAAAGATGCCCAAACAGTTAAATAGTCGGTGTAAGGAACTCGTGGCCTCGTTAATGCACTACTTTGAGCAAGAAAGGGACAACAACGGGCCTTTGTTGCCTTTAAATGCTGTTCAAGAGGTAGGTTACTAATAATTATATGTAATGTATATTAATAATAGTGAAATTTTATTTCATTTTTTGTAGCGTGTTGCTGCTGCTTTAAAAATTAGTTTAAGGACAGTTAGTCGTATTTCCGAGGGTGTGAAAAGTGATGCAAATTTAGAATCGCCCAAGAAAAAGCGGAGTTATATTAAACGTGTAACCAACACAGCGACATTGGATACAAGTGCCATTCGAAAAGTGATCTATAATATGTATCACAAAAGTAAGATCTTATTATAATAACTTATCAGAAATTTGCATTAATTTGTTGACTAAATTATAATGTCATATTACACATGGTTTCAGAAGAACAAGTTACGATACAAACTTTATGGTCTCGATTAAGAGATAGGGCATTATTTGATGGTAGTGCCACGTCTTTAAGGCGGTTGCTTAGAGATCTTGGATTTAAGTGGCTTAAGGACAATCCGCGACGAGGGCTCATGGAACTACCAAGTATAGCTTTGAAAAGGGTGGAATTTCTAAGGCAATACAATCAAGCCAAGGTTGAGGCCTTATACCAGTTTGTCTTCCTCGATGAAACTTGGATATTTCAAAATGGGACCATAGGTCGCTCTTGGCAAAATGGAAACCAAAAAAGCGTGAAAGCTATTAAAACAGATGGTAAAAGGTATGTACTTTTACACAATTTGCACTATAAAATTTAAAACTAATATATTTTAGATACATTATATTACATGCTGGAAATGAAAATGGGTTTATTGAGGGTAGTGAAGCGATATTTTCTTCGAAAACAAAATTGAGCGAATACCATGGAGAGATGAACCAGGACAATTTTTTGAAATGGTTTCAACATCAGTTATTAGAAAAATTGGAGAGTCCATCTATGATTATACTGGATAACGCCCCTTATCACAGCATGATATTGAACAAAGTGCCCAACAATGCATGGACAAAAAAAAATATCCAAGACTGGTTGACAAATCAAAACATACCATTTTTAAACACAATGTTTAAAACAGAGCTATTGAGTATTGTTGCTCGGTACATAATGCTTCTTAATTATATATATTTTGGTCGACAGTTTATATTTCTTTTGTTTATTCCTATTCTTAAAATAACTGCTTTTTTAGAAACAAACCACCTAAAATATACGTGATTGATGAATTGGCGGAACAACATGGGCACAAAGTTCTTCGTCTGCCTCCTTACCATTGTATATTTAACCCTATTGAGTTAATTTGGGGCATAGCAAAAGGTTACTATAACAGACATATTGGTAGAGATGGTAACAGTGAAAAAGACTGTTTGGATATGTGGAACGAGGCTCTACAAACGGTTACCCCAGACATGTGGAAAAATAGTGTTCGACATACTGAGCAAGAAATTTTTAAATGGTATGAAAGAGAACGAATTTTTGATCGACCAGACATCGAACCTTTAATAATCAACTTTGAGAGTGATGAAGATTCAGATTCAGACAGCGCTGAAGAAAGAAACTCCGACTAACTTTATTGTACAGAAAAAGCTTACACCAGTAGCTTACCTAATTTTAGAATGCATTTTTCTGTATGAATTCTGTAAAATAAATACCATGCATAAAATTTGGAGGACCCCATTTGGATTTTTATTCAGTACCTTTAAGCTATCAATTAAATATGGTAGTTTCATAGTGTCATCTGATCAATAATTGTCATACTTAATGATTATGCAAGTACAGATCTATAATTTTATTATACTATTATTTTTGTTCTCATTTGAGGTTAATATTGCTTATAAACCTAGATATGTAAATAATAAATTTTATTATTTTACAAAAAGTTTGGCAACAATGTAAATTTTTCAACACACCCACCTTGATGACGTGCACGCCACTTTGTTTGGCGTTCACTATAGGTTCATTTATTTACAACTCATTAGCTGCAGAACCGTACCTTCAATATTGTTGAAACATGACCTGCCATTGTAACTTTCTCTGAAATTTGTAGATGATTTTTTATCGATCAACGCAGTACTACCCGACGTTGATTGAGCCATAATGTGTTCACGACATATGCCTCTTCGTAACTTAAGCACAAAGGTGTGACAATTACACACGTTATGTTTTTTCCTTGCTAAAAACGTATAGAAATCGATAAATTTAAATAACGCTATTTTAGGGTATACATACTTCTTCAAAGATGACAGCTTCTGGAAATTCGACAACGACTGGGTGATCACAACAGAAGAATCTCCAATGCCAACTGCTCAAGTATGGTTTGGATGTCCTAGAGAAGGTAGCAAAACTACGCGTAGATGACATATTCAATGCCTATGTAGCGTTTTTCCATAATTTTAGTTATATTCGTAATTTCCATTTTGACACTGCCACTGAATAGTCGATTTTATATCTTGGCATAATAAACGTTGTATACATATTCGTTTTGATTTTAGTATATAAGTTGGGTTTTACTGTACGTGGGATGTCTTTTAAGTTTTGCATATAGAAACATAGTACGCCGCGCGGATCGAACGTCAGTACTGAATCTTAACCTCACTCTTTAGTAAGCTTAAATTCAAAGTTTCACAACAATACGTGCAGCGTTCTCACTACAGTGAATTTTTAAGTGTCACCAAGTCATTAGAAAAATGGAACTCAACCGAGAACATTTTCGCGCCATAATTTATTACAACTTTCAGAGACAATTATCGCAACAAGAATGCCTTGCTGAGTTACTGTCTGTTTTCGGCAACGAAGCGCCATATAATAATAATAATGCCTTTATTAACTGTAGTGAGGCGAAGTTTAGCCAAACGGCTACTCTTACACTCAACCCCACAACAGGAAAAAAGAATACTTACACACATAAACAAAATAATAACATACAAAAAAAATACAATCCATAAGAATGACAACATTGATTGCACGAGACAAATGCAGATAGCATTGCGAGAGTTTTAAATTTGAAACAAAAATAGTAGAAAATAGTCAAACAAAAAAAATGAAAATATCACATGAGCACAAGAAAAACTGAACTAAATGGACTCCAGCAGCTGATTTTTCATTAATTTCTTAAAAGAAACAACCTGTTTGGATCGATAGCCACTGTTGACTGCATTGTAATGCTTGACAGCATTATAGGTGTAACTTCTTTCAAAGACCGAGGTATTGTGAGGAGGCATGTTAAAATTAGCATTAAATCTAAGGGCTCTGGTAACAAAACTACCTCGGTGAACTAATTTGCTAACGAGGTAAGCTGGTCTGTTAGATAATAGAACTTTATGCGTGAAGACGGTCAAAAGATATAAAAATAACTTATCAATTCGCAACCAGTTGGGTTCTTTGATTTTATCTGAGACGCGACTAAACTTGCGCAATCCAAAAATAAACCTACAACATCTGTTCTGAATTTTCTGGAGTTTCCTTTTGTGGACGTAGTCTAAACATGGGTAATACAGAACAAGAGAGTAAGAAATGACAGACAACACAAGACTTTCAGCAAGCTTTTTTCGGGTTTTAAAATTCAAGATGTATCGATTAGAATAGAGGAGTTTCAAACGCAAATACGTTACTCTAGATAAGAAAGAGACATGCCAATCGAATCTCATATTTAAGTCAAGGGTAACACCGAGATTCTTGGCGTAATCCACAAAAGGGATGAGTGTCTCATCCAAAAAAACACAAATCCTCTGCTTCATTTCACGGTAGGAGTTCTTCGAACAGTACAACATTGCAGTAGTTTTATTAGGATTGATCTTCAAGCAGTGTTTGTTACAGTAATCACCGATGTTAGCCAAATCTAAATTAACTTTAAAAGAAACTTCATCAACCTTTGATGGATCGAAACCAAACACTAACTGAGTATCATCTGCATAAGTTTGCATTCTACAGTGGACTAAACAGTCTTGCAGATCGATCGTATAAATCAGATATAGTAAGGGACCTAATACTGAGCCCTGAGGAACTCCTGAAGGAACTGGCTCAGAGGAGGAAATTCCCTGATCAGTTTTCACTGTTTGTTGACGATTTAGCAAGTATGACTCAAAGAACTATATCTGACATTCCATAATGAGTTAACTAACTCAGTAGTATCTGGTGATTGACCATATCAAAGGCTTTCGAGAAATCTAACAGTACCAAGACGGTGTTGATGTGATTATCTAAATTGTGAATGATGGAATTAGTAAGATGTAATAAAGACGAAGTAGTGCTGTAACCAGCTCTGAAACCTGACTGATGTAGAGGAAATAAGTGGTTTTGTTCGAAAAACTCCACTAGTTATGAGTAGACAGCTCTTTCGAGTATTGTTGATAGAAAGCATAATAAGGTAATTGGCCTGAGATCCGAATATTGTTCTGGATGATTAGTTTTAGCTATTGGAATAATAATACCATTTTTCCAACTGGCAGGAAGGTAACCTGTTTCGAGGCAGACATTAATAATGTGAGTTATATGTTCTATGGTATCAGGCAAACATAAGCAAACCATATTTAAAGTTAGACCATCAGAGCCACATGCCGTAGACTTAATGTGAGAGATTATATTGACGATGTCTTGCTGAGTAAGGAGTTTAAAAGCAAACAGAGGTGCATCCGGTGTATGGCGTCTATCGCTATAAGAGTTAGATAAACAATGTCCAGGAGTCCATGATGCTAGTAAATGCGGATCTGGATAGTGTTAATAGGTACTGCAGCTCTCACAACTTGAGACTAAATCCCTCAAAATGTTCTGCTATATTATTTGGCAATAAAAGATTATGTGAAAACCTTAAACCATTAATTCACATCAAAGTTAATGGGGAGGAAATTATTTTTTCTGAAATAGTAAAAAATTTGGGCATTCACTTTGACTCGGACTTACGTTTTAACTCCCATCTGAATAATGTCTTGAAAAAATGTTATCTATCCCTCAGGCTTCTATTTGCAAACAAACATATTCTGCATAGAAACATCAAAATTAAATTGTGTCACAGTTTAGTTATTTCTAAAATGTTATATGGCTTATCCATATATTACCCATGTTTGACGTCTATTAACGCAAAACGTTTGCAGATAATGCAGAATACCTGTGTACGGTTTATCGAGGGCCTAAGAAAGTTCGATCATGTATCACACTTGTATCGTAATCTTGCATGGCTAAGCGTTCAAAACCTTTTCAAATACTCCATTATCAGCTTTACTCACAGGATCATACTAACATCATCCCCTCAATACCTCAGCTGTAAACTTGTTCCAAGGGCGTCTGTGCATAATCTTCAGGTTCGTAACCGTGACACCTTAACTATGCCAATACACCGCACATCACTTTTTAGACGAACTTTCACATACAATGCAATTTTATATTACAATAGCTTAAGCCAGGATCTGAAGACTATCCAGTCCTCCCGGAGTTTTAAAACTCAGTTAAAAAGATATTTACAAGAATTGCAAAACAACCGCTAGCTTAAGAAGTTCTTTCATTTTCATACTTTTTGTATTTTTCATGAATTATTTTTCCGTTTCTTAATAACCTATTATCTCTTCTTCTTTTTATAGCTAAATTGGCACAAATAGTCCTATTATACTGTGACTTAATGTTTGTAGTTTCACATTTTTTTTTTTGTTTGTTTTTGTATAACTTGTTTTTTTTTTTTACTTTTGTACGGGGTTAGATGGTGGAATAGCAGGTGCTAAATCTCGCCCCATGTAATGTACCATGTTTTTGGTCAATAAAGACGATTATTATTATTATTATTATTATTATCAATCAAATTTGTATCAGCTGCAGCTGTCTGGAAAATTGAAAGAAAATAATTATTTAAAATGTTAGGCTCAAGGAGATTGGGAGGTATCGCAACATGTTTCTGGGCTACCACATTCATCCTCCTCAGGTGTTTCCAAGCTTGACTAGAGTTAAGATTCCGGAAACGTGACATATATGCTTTTTTCTCTCTTCTAAGCGATGCAAGGGCATAATTTCTCAAATCTTTGTAGCTGGCCCAATTCTGATCAGATCTGTTATGCTGATAGACAGCGAATGCCTCATCTCTGAGTTGAAAAATCATTTTCAAGTTAGGAGTGAGCCAGGGCGCAGCAGGTTTTGTGACACGTACTGTACGTAGCGGAGCGTAGAGATCGAATAGATAAAGAAGACGGCCAGTAAAAATAGAGACTTTAATATCCACATCATTCACGAAATAAATGTCATTAAGCTGCATTGATGCAATCTGCGTCTTAAAACTTTGAATATCAATGCTATTAAGATTTCTATATGTTACAAATTTAGGCTCTATTTTTTATAACAAACGGAAATATCACAGTATGTGAGCCGATGATCACTAATTGAGTCTGCATTGAGTGTCCCTGACCTTTTGACGATAGTATTGTCACTAACATATTGGATCAAGTAATGTGGAACTGAAGGCTGTAACACGTGCAGGCTCATCAATGACTTGAATGAAATTGAATGAATCAAAGCAGCTGCTGAGGATGTTGTTATGAGCAAGCAAGTCGACATTCATATCGCCCAAGAATTATGTTGTCATATTGGGGAGTGAAAAATGAGATAAGATTTTCTAAACACTGGATGGCTTGATGTATAGAGCAATGTGGTGGCATATATATAACAACAATTAACATACTGGACCCGTGCAGTTTAAATTTATAGCATAACATTTCAAGAGGATTTATATCAGTCGACAATTTTCCATTGGTATGGAGAATTCCAACGTGGACGGGTGAGTCTTAGCGACGATCCCAGGGTGGGTGCACCAAAAACGTCAGTCACCCACGAAAACGTCGATGCTGTGCGCAAACTCATCATTGAAGATAGACACGTGACATATCGCGAGATTGAGGCGTCCTCCTTCCGAAAACTCAAAAAATGTGTACAGCATTGTTAGTGGTGATGAATCGTGGCTTTACTATTATGAACCAGAAAATAAACGACAGTCGGCTGTTTGCGTGTTCCAAGGTGAAGAAAAGCCAACAAAAGTCGTCCGTTCTCGAAGTGTTTCGAAAAAGATGGTCGCGACATCTGTGTCAAAAGCGGGTCATATTGCAACAATTCCTCTTAATGAGCAAAAAACTGTTACTGCGGATTGGTATACCATTTGTTTGCCAAAAGTCATCATCGAGCTTCGAAAAATCAACGCTGAAAGAAGAATCATCCTCCACCAAGACAATGCAAGCTCGCACACAGCCCAAAAACAAGGCGGTATTTAACGAAAAAAAACGTGGAATTATTGGACCATCCTCCATATAGTCCCGATCTAAGTCCTAACGATTTCTTTACTTTCCCGAAAATTAAAAACAAACTGCGTGGTCAAAGGTTCCAGTCACCAGAAGAAGCAGTTGACGCATTCAAAAATGCCGTTTTGGATCTGCCAAGAAACGAGTGGAATAAGTGCTTCGAAAATTGGTTCGAGCGCATGCAGATGTGTATTAATCTTCGTGGAGA